CCACAGAGAGATGGTCTACAAGACCACTCCCACCCTCCGGGGAAGAGAAACAAAGTTCGGTCCACAAACCGAGACGAAGCACAAAAGAGTTCAGAAGCCCGGAGGTAAGACTCTCAGCCAAAACTCTGAAACCTCTAAATGAGCACAACATACACCATCACCGAGCGCTCAATCGATGACGTCTGAGTCTTAAGGTCTGTCAAAAATGGGGTGCCAACAGTTGCCCCTCTTTGACAGAGCTCGAAAGTCATAAGTGACGGGAGTGAGTGTCAAAGCCCAGAGACGACCCATTTTTGACAAGGCCGAAGACTTAGACAAACATGCAAGATAACAAAGAAATGTGCCTGCAGGCTGGGGCAAGATGCAAATGATATGCACAAAGCCAAACATAACTTATGATCATGCAAATAAAGCTGTAACGAAGCAATTATGCAATAAAAATGCAACAGTTTTAAGTAGGGGATTACAAAGCAAACTACATTAAATGCAAAAAGGATGTAAGAGAATTATACAATTCTCTTTACGTCTCACGCGGAGTACATACAATACCTATCTGGTTCGTCTGGTCGCGCCAGCTTCAAATAAACCGTACATACAATATCGTGCCTGCAAAAGAGAGAAACTCAACAGGTACAATATTGTTAGAAACATGCATAGCAATGCAAGTGAAAAGTGCGTAATAACACAAGTCGAGGGATGCATGACAATGCAACCTAAGTGTGACGCATAACAATGCGGTATGGATGCAAAACAATGCAGCCGAAACGAGTGTGCCAACACAAGTAGTGAGTGTATAACAAAGCGATAAGTGGGATGCACAACTATGTAGGTGAAACGTGCGTGACAACGCGTGTGGAAAGTGCAAGGTAATGCAAAAGAAATGCGCAACTTCAAATGTGTGTTTGAAAGGAGATGCCAAAAGAGAAAAGCGTAATTCAAACGTAACCCCCGATTTACCTCTCGAAGGGGTAACAACATACTCAAAAAGGATACACCTTGCTCTTGACGAGTAAACGATGAGCTACGCATCGAAGACTTGAATTGAAGTTCCCGCGGGGACATTTTTGAGCCGAAAAGTGTACTTTTCTTGTAGTTTCTCGAGAGCCCAAGACTCCAATCATTATCAAAAAACATAGGGAGAACAAAGGGACCTTGGAAACCACCCAGGAGGGATGGCCAACGATATTCCGTATAGCGGAGGCTTTCCATATGCAGAGGATGAGCCCGACATCATACTGTTGCCTCCGAGGATACGGCCATTCGACCCAGAGGAGTACGACCGGCAGGAGCACGTTCTACCTCCTAGCGCCTTCTATCATTTCACGGACTTCGCGCGGCGGGCACCTGAAAACCTGCTGCTGCGGGAGCTGGAGTCCCATCTATCTCATCACGCGCATGAGGTACGTACTACATTTGCACATTTTCTGCGATGTATTTTGCACTTCTTTGCATATTTACATACACAGTTTATACTTAGCATTCCGTTAATTTGGCACACGACTCATTTGGGCACATAGCATATTTGAGCACACAGCATATTTGGGCACACAACTCAAAACACTGCTCAATCTGATCACACAGTCCATAACACAGCATTCCGTTTGGTTGGCACACAACTCATAGCATTGCTCAATCTAAACACGTAGTCCATAACACAGCATTCTGTTTGATCGGCACACAGCTCATAACACTACTCAATCTGAACACGCAGTCCATAACACAACATTCTGTTTGATCGACACACAGCTCATAACACTGCTCAATCTGAACACGCAGTCCATAACACAGCATTCTGTTTGATTGGCACACAGCTCATAACACAGTACACTTTTGCATTCTGAACACACAGCTTAAACTTCTGAATTCCTGAACACGCAGCTCATACTTTTCATTGTGAACACGCAGCTCACATTTTTGAAATTTGAACACGCAGCTCAAACTTTTTATGGTGAACATGCAGCTCAAACTTTTGTGGTGAACACGTAGCTCACATTTTTCAAGTTTTGAACACACAACTCAAACTTTTTGTGGTGAACACGTAGCTCACATTTTTCAAGTTTTGAACACGCAGCTCAAACTTTTGTGGTGAACACGCAGCTCACATCTTTTGAAATTTTGAACACGCAGCTCAAATTTTTATGGTGAACACACAGCTCACAATTTTTGAAATTTTGAACATGCAGCTCAAACTTTTGATGGTGAACACGCAGCTCAAATTTTTTGAAATTTTGAACACGCAGCTCAAACTTTTTATGGTGAACACGGAGCTCACATTTTTTTGCAATTTTGAACATGTAGCTCAAACTTTTGATGGTGAACATGCAACTTACATTTTTTGAAATTTTGAACACGCAGCTCAAACTTTTGATGGTGAACACGGAGCTCACATTTTTTTGAAATTTTGAATACGCAGCTCAAACTTTTTATGGTGAACACGCGCAGCTCACATTTTTTTAAAAAAAATTTTGAACACGCAGCTCAAACTTTTGATGGTGAACACGCAACTCACATTTTTTGAAATTTTGAACACGCAGCTCAAACTTTTGATGGTGAACTGCGCTCACATTTTTTTGAAATTTTGAAGACGCAGCTCAAACTTTTGATGGTGAACACGCAGCTCACATTTTTTTGAAATTTTGAACACGCAGCTCAAACTTTTGATGGTGAACACGCAGCTCACATTTTTTTGAAATTTTGAACACGCAGCTCAAACTTTTGATGGTTCAATCTGAAACCGCAGCTCATACATTTTACTTTGCACGCAGCCCATACATTTCAATCTGAAACCGCAGCTCATACATTTTCATTTGCACGCAGCCCATACATTTCAATTTGAAACCGCAGCTCATACATTTTCATTTGCACGCAGCTCATACATGTCAATCTGAAACCGCAGCTCATACATTTTACTTTGCACGCAGCCCATACATTTCAATCTGAAACCGCAGCTCATACATTTTTATTTGCACCCAGCTCATACATTTCAATCTGAAACCGCAACTCATACATTTTACTTTGAACATGCAGCTCATACATTTCAATCTGAAATCGCAGCTCATACATTTTACTTTGAATACGCAGCTCATACTCTTCATTCTGAAACTGAATATATCTGTTCATTCTGAATGCAGGTATCTTCCCGTTTCACACGGGGTTATGGGTCCATCCTCGCGAGGGAGTGGTACATGGAGCTCCTAGACATTGCCCGACATATTGTGGATGAGGCAGGGTTCGGCCCATTTTGTGCGGGATTATCACGTCATACGGTGAGCAGGGCCTTCCTGGGCGCACTTGTAGAGAGATGGTGGGACACCACCAACTCCTTCCATTTTTTAGCTACTCCCCACATGACGATGGCCCCATATGACTTCTCCATGTTGATGGGCCTTGATGTGGCAGGCCAACCGATCCCATACGACGCAGATATGGGTGAGTGGGAGACCGCTTGGATTTATTTGCTCGGAGCCTGTCTGTCGATCGACAGATCATCGGGTAGGGTCAGGTACACCTGGTTTGCTAAGCAGTACAGGGGGACTTCGCCCCAAACCATTGAGACCGTACAGCAGTACGCCCGGGGATTCTTGATGTTCCTCCTCGGGACCACACTGTTCTCCAACAGGGGGAACACAGTTGGGCTTTATCTGTTCAATGCTCTAGTAGACCTATCACGGGTCAGTCAGTATGATTGGGTTGGCGCGGGCCTTGCTACCCTTTACTGCTACATGAGCGCGACCTCCCGTGAGCGGGGGACCATAGTTGGAGGCTACTTGCAAGCCTAGGAGGTGCATTCTGCCCTATTAATTTACAATTCTGCTTTTCATTATCTGTACACAGCACACTGCACACATCACATTCTGTATTCTACATTCTGCACTCAGCATTCTGCATTTCTTGTATTTTCTGTATATTGTACACTGCACCCAGCATTCTGCGCTCAGCATTCTGCGCTCAGCATTCTGCACTCAGCATTCTGTATACTGTACACTGCACATAACATTCTGTATTCTGACATTCTGCACTCAGCATTCTGTATATTGTACACTACACACAACATTCTGTATTCTGATAGTTGTTGTCTCGCCTTTCACAGCTTTGGGTTTATGCATACTTCCCGACGCTGGCCCCTGAGCTAGAGGTCGAGGCATCCCTTGTGATCCTTTACTCACACAAATTTGAGGGTCAGTGTCGGCCCAGGCCCCGGGAGACTTTGCTCTCTCTCTGGCAGTTCTTCGATACTGTATGGGCGACGGAGATAATCCAAAACTCTTAGTTCTTCATGCTTTTTGCTTTAATTTATCTTGCATATTTATGACATCTAATCAATTTATGCACTTGCTACCCGCAGGTGTCTTGGCAGCCTTGGATAGGCATGCTAGGGAATCCTCGATTTCTGTTTGCTGGGGCATGGAGCACTTCGCGATACAGGGTTCTGCTTGAGGGACCAGTCGGCAGAGCCTGGTTCCTCAGAGAGCACTTCATGCGCCAGACGATGGACAACTCCGATCAGGATGTTCCCTCATCGCCTCCACCAGAGATGCAATCCATAGGGGATCTTATGCCTCGAAAGACGGAGGACCTCATGCTGGGTATTGATGTAGTCCCTTTTTTGAAAGAGGGGGATTACGCGACATATCGCCATACGCACCTGATGCCTCCGTTGTCAGGTGTCCGTATCCCCAAGAGGAGAGCTGCTGACATGCCTTCCTCGAGTTGCGCCTGAGTTGAAGGCGTTCCTTCGACCAGCTGGGCAGGCTCATCGGGGGGGACCGGATGGATGCCCTCGACTCGCCAGTATGTTGGATGGTCAGATCTTTCGACCAAACTGACGGACTGGCAGTATGGGACCTCTTACCCGATTCCACTGGAGCCTCCGATGCCCGACCATCGATACGTCAATGACCCTGACTCACCACCAGTATGTTTTACAGTTTTCATTTATCACTCAGATATTTAGACATTCATTCATTCACTGATGACTTGAACTTATGTGTGCAGCCTCCCAGGGAGTATACTGAGGGGTTACTCGGAGTAGTGGCTTCATTCGAGGGTATGGCTCTGCGGAAGGAGACGATGCTTTGTGCCTCCAGCGTTCAGGTACTTTTCAATTTCCTCGCATTTATCATGTTTCTGATGACATATATGGAAACTGAATATTTCACTATATTGATTCATTCCATGTGTAGAGCACATCTAACACATCACATTTACACACTATATCTATATGCACCCACTCTATGTAATTCTTGTAACTGTATCTAATATACATACTGGCTGACGCATTCAATTTGTCCTTTTCAGGTCCCGTCTCTACGGACTGGGCTATCCAGGCCTTCTCGAGCAGCTAGGAGAGGAGTCTCAGCACGCGGTCGAGGCGGACGCAGAACACCTGTCAGTCAGGATGACGAGGAGTTTAGCGAGGAAGAGCAGTCGACACATCCTCAGTCTGAGACATCTGCAGGTAGGGACGATGACTCAGGTTCCGGTTTGGAGGATGGAGGCGACACTGAGGAGGCTTCCGAGGACGGTGACTCCGGTTCAGATGATGGTGCCAGTGGCGCGGAGGCTGCTTAACCGAAGAGGGTAAAGAGGGCCTCTCTGTCTTGAGCTTGATGGCACTGATGCAGATGTTCCTGCTTTATTTTTCTTTTTACATGTAGTTGTAGCACATTGTACAGCTTAGGCAGTTTTATTTTTCTTCCAAAACTTGTACCCTTCTGTAAAATGTTGTAAAAAAGAGCTATGATGGGATGAAAACGACTTTTCGTTCAAAGAGTGTTGTATTTGTATTTTCAGCATCACATCGTACCGCACCATTTTGCACAAAAATGAAATTTGAATGAAAATAGAACAACGTGTATTACCAAGTTATGTAGTGAACCGACGCAACAAACTAAACAACTCAACTCAAAAACAATTCGTTAAACGAATTAACAACTCGATAAAAAAATAAGCAACAACTCGATAAATAAATGAGCAACAACTTGATGAACAAAATGACAACAACTCGATAAACAAATGAGCAACAACTTGATAAACAAAGCAATGGAATGCATCCAAAACAGAGGTAAATTCGAACGTTTAGCACTCTCAGCACACAGGGAAGTTAGAGACTCATTCCTGAAGGCAAGAAACAGGTGTAAACCACTTTCATAGTCATGTCAACCACCAAAGGAGCCTGCCGACCAGTTTTTCTGTCTCCAGCCCAAAAAAGTAGCTGGCCGACCAGAAAAATGGTCGGCCGACCACTTGATCTGGGAACCTCCAGTTTTCTTACACTTGTCCTCCAAACAATGTCTTATCCTTTATAAAGGTTCCAGCTTCATGGTTCCCTCATTCCAACTCAGTTTTGCACCAAAATGGAGGCATTTCTCATCCAAAATCTCACGAATTGGATTGCTTCCTTGGATGGCTCAGAAAAGGTGAATTTCCGGGGCTTTGGCATAAATTCACTATTCATGCTGAGCTACACCCCGGTGCGTTTTCCGTTTCTTCATGCCGCGGCAAGATTTTGGAACCCGGTGACACACATCCTTAGCTTTGGCGGACAAGAGATGTGTCCCACATTTGAAGACTTCCAAGCTTTAATGGAATCCGAGCGCGAGGAGGAAATTTTGCCGCAATTCCACTTTGGCCACGTCCAAGCCTTAGGATGGATGTGTGGGCTCACTTTGCATGACACTCGATCAATGATTCGCGATGGAGTGCTGGATATCCCCAGCTTGATTCGTCGATTTTCTGATGCCGGTGACCGCGGTGATCATGACTGGCAGGGTTATCGGCAACATGCACTTTGCTAGTGTATGTTGTCTCATTTCTTGCTTGCCCCAGGCTCTGGTGGGTTTAGCACTCGTTTGATTGAAGTCGCGCAAGGCTTAAGAGAAGGCAAGAGCTGCATTGCCATGACATTAGCTGAGACATTGATAGGTTTGGATACTTTTCATCGCCGAGAGATGGCTAGCTTGGTGGGGAGTCCACTACTATTGCAGGTAATGTTTCCCACCCCATCTCACATATATTTCTCGCATCACTCGGCCCTCTAGCTTGATTTTTCTCTCAAAACCCTTTTCTCACTTTTTCTCTCGACGTACACCTCCCTATTCTTTAATCTCTCATTTTTAATCCCTCCCCAGATATGGTTGATAGACAAATTGAAGATTGTGGACTCCTGCCCCACATACTCAGCTCACAGCTATTTCTTCCGACGACGTTTAGTCGATGCCCCTGACAAGGGATGGTGGTGCAACTGGATGCGCAGTTTATCCGTAGACCGCATTACTTGGCATTGTCCTTGGCTCAATCTAACAGCAATGAGCTACAGTATGGCTCGCCAGCCAGGGATTCAGTTGATTGGCATGACACACTGTGTGTTCTATTTTCCTTTCCAGTTCCGGCGTCAATTCGGACATCATCAGACTTGCCCGATAGAAGGGATAGAGTACCCCGCTACATTTTCGGTCCGAGGCACTCAACTAGCTCGGTATGCCACGGCATGGAGGACTAGAGAGCTTCTGGCCCCCGCTCCCACTTTCAGTTGTACTCTCTCTGATGAGTGTACAGCTTGGCTTTTGAGGAGGCGCAGACTGGGCCTACTTTAGCATCAAAGTCTTCGACCAGCTCTGGGAGGGGGCGCAAGAACACCTGACTTATCCATGCCCTGAATTTATTACTTTATTAGTACTTTCAAGTTTTCTTTATGAATGTAATAAAAAGCAACTTCAATTTGTATTCAAGAGTAGGAGAACTCTGTGCTGAAATCAATGAAATTGAAGGTTGTGGGTATTGAAAATTTCCCGCTTCGTCCAAAAATGGTCTAAGTTGTAAAAAGATTAATTTGAACAAAATCAACTTTTATTAAAACTTTTCAAAACCATTTTCGATATGGATCAGAACTGGACACGCCTGAGATCTATCACTGAGATGCACAATCTCGGATTCCAGCAACTGAGAAGTTGCCCCTAGTCTGAATAGCACTGCATCAGAGATCACAACCGAGCTCTTGAACATAGAGTAGACAAAGATGACCAAACATGATCACATGGACAAAGTTGATCAGGAAAGTGTTTATGGCTAAACTTCAGAATGACGTTGCCTACGTATCCCAAACATGGGAATCAAGCCTTACGTAGATCGGCTCAGGTTCACTCGTGTATTAACACTCTCATTTTGCGCTCTAACTTTTGCCAAGGCCGCCCTTTGCGGGTTTTTAACCTTGCGAGCTCAGTTTTTATAGTTTCAAATTTTTCATGCTCTAACTTTTGCCTAGGTTGCCCTTTTGGGTTTTCAGCCTAGCGAGCCACTCAAGGATAATATTTCTTCAACTTGTCCATGTTGATCGGTTGGGAGAATTCTAGACCATCTAGGTCCATCAGAACGACAGCTCTGCCTGACCAGATAGACTTGATGATGTGAGGATCAATCCAATTGGGACTAAACTTGCCCCTAGGGTCGTGGATGGGAGCTCAATTGTCCTTGAGCACTAGATCCCCTTCCTTCATATTCCTAGACTTAACCTTCTTGTTGAAAGTCCTGGCGATTCTCCGTTGATAACCCTGAACATGGTACAGTGCTTTCAGCCTTCTTTCATCAAACAGCATGAGTTCTTCGAACCTGCTCCGCTGCCAATCTGCCTCGACTATCTGGCACTCAGCCAATACCCGTAATGACAGAACTTCAATTTCAATAACCAAAACAGCCTCCATCACATAAACCAAGGAATACGGAGTCGCCCCAGTAGAAGTTCGAATTGAAGTCCGGTAGCCCCACAGAGCAAATGGCAACTTATCTGGCCAGTCCCGGTAGGTTTCCACCATCTTCTGCAGAATGTGCTTGATGTTCTTGTTGGCGGCCTCAACTGCTCCGTTGGCTTGCGGTTGATAAGTAGATGACTTGTGAAAAGCCACGTTATACTTATCCAACAAGTCGACCACTTCCTTCTTAAAGTGGGAACCATTATCTGAAATGATCTCGTTCGGGACCCCGTAGCGACAGATGATGTTGTTCCTAATGAACTTTGCAACGTGCGATGCCTTCAACACCGCATAAGATTGGGCCTCGACCCACTTTGTAAAATAGTCTATCGCGACCAGAATGAACTCATGCCCATTGGACCCTTTCGGAGTGACAGCCCCAATCACATCAATCCCCCAGACTGAAAACGGCCATGGCGAAGTCATGTTGTACAGCTTTGACGGTGGAATGTTCATGCAGTTGGCGTGGATCTGACATTTGTGGCATCGCCGGACAAAGCCAATACAATCCTCCGCCATGGTGGACCAATAATAACCCTCTCTAAGGATCTTCCGGGCTAGCATTACCACGTTCATGTGCGCTCCGCACTCTCCTCCATGGATGGCCTCCAACAGGCACTTCGATTCTTCGGTATCAACACACAGCTTATGCATCCCGAGATGACCTCTCTTGTACAGTTTACCCCCGCAGATGATGAACTGAGCAACCATTCTTCGAATTGCCCTCTTATCTTTGGTATTTGCCCTTGGTGGATACGTTTCCTTTTCCAAGAAGTTCCAGACATCGTAATACCAAGGATTCTCATCTTGTACTTCATCTATGGCAGCAAGCAGCTCGTAGGTCGGCACAAACTTCTGTTCGATGATAATCGGACGCATCCGGACTCTGAAAAGGATGTCTATCATGGAAGATAGAGTTGCTAGTGAATCTGCGAACCTGTTGTTCTCTCTTAACAGATGGGCGAAATTCAACTTCTCAAATCGAGGAATCAGTACGTCCAAGGCTTGGTGATAGATTTTCATCTTTTCTTCTTTGACTTTCCAATCTCCTTTAGCTTGAGATACAACAAGGTTCGAGTCCCCGATGAGGTCCAACCGTTTTGCCCCTAGTTCTAGAGTGGCTTCTAAACCAGCAATGCATGCCTCATACTCTGCTTCGTTGTTTGAGACTTTGAACCGGAGTTTGAATGCTAGAGGTATACGAGAATTGTCGGGTGCTATCAACAACACACCTATCCCATACCCATATTGATTTGACGCTCCGTCAACACATCATCCAGGTTTCATCTTTGATATACAGAATGGCCTCGTCTGGGACTAGGTACTCAACTGCTTTATCCCTTCAACTGGGGTGATCGGCTAGGAACTCCATTACCGCTCTCCCTTTTACTGACTTGCGCGTCACATACTTCAGATCGAATTCGAAAAGCAAAAGCAACCAACGGGCTAGCCTACCCATAAGTGCTGGTTTCTCGAAGAGATATTTGATGGGATCCAATCTTAAAACCAGTATTACGGAGTGAGCAAACAGGTAGTACCGCAGCTTCCTGGTAGCCAATACCAAGGCCAAACAAGCCTTCTCCAGCGGAGTGTAGCGGGTCTCGTACTCTAGCATTTTTTCTTGCTCAGATAGTAGATAGCCCTCTCCACTTTATCCTCAGACTCCTGTGCGAGCATGCAGCCCATTGTAGTTTCAGTCATTGAAAGGTACAGAATCAATGGTTTTCCCGTTTCAAGCGGTGACAACACAGGTGGGTTCTGTAAATATTGTTTGATTTGTTCAAAAGCAGCTTAGCATCAGCCGTCCCATTAGAATTTCCTTCCCTTCTTCAAGAGACCAAAGAGTGGTTCACAAGTCAAGGTTAATTTTGAAATAAATTGTCTTATGAATTGCACTTTATCCAGAAAGCCTCGCACCTCCTTTTCAGTCCTTGGTGGTGGCATTTCTAAGATGGCCTTGATTTTGGAAGGATCGACCTCGATACCTCTCTGTGTGATCAAGAACCCCAGCA